AGAGTGGGTATTTTGCCACGGTCTGCCTTGGGGGACATTTCAATACGGACTTTCTGTTCGCGCTTCCCACGTAGGGTTGATGGTTATGGCTTGATATTTTTGAATGTTCTTTAAGCATTTTGCATGTTTAATTTAATCCTTTTCTCATTAAAATTTTACATGCCTTTAATGTACTATTGGGATAGTTTAACATCAGCGGATTTCTTGCTTTGTTTATAACCAAATTATTATTTGATATTTTGAGATATGGTATTTTAAACCATACCTTTTTCAAAAGGAATTAACATGATTTTTTCTAGTTTTTTTAAATTTTTTTGAGCACTGTCTCTTAAATATTTTTAATTGACTATTACCGGGCTTTTCTCTTCTAATCCCGTCTCTAATTCGTACTCGGACTTTAGCCTACTTATAACTTTTATTTGAAGTTTAGTGGCAATGCTAGTGTAGAATACTCGAGTCCTATTATGAAGTCTGGTACAACGGAACCAGCTTTACCGACCAACCACAGGCCAGAACAACACGTCAGGCGCCGTTCTTCTGAGTCCACCACGCTGGTTACGATCCTAATTATCATTGCTCCTCATTTGTGACTCTATTTGGTTGAATGCTTTTCTACCTCAGAAGCCAATGGATCTCTGAGAGATAGAGGATTGGCTTTGGCCGGCGCGTGCGAACATGTCAACGCCTATGGTCGTCGGCTCTGTAGAATACCCGAGCCCTAGTGTGCAAAAAAGTGGTACAACTGAACAAGCTTTACTGACTAATTACATGCCAAAATCACACGTCAGGCGCCTTCCATCCGAGTCCACCACGCTGGCCACGCCGATCCTTATATACTGCACCTCATCCGTGTCATTCTCTGATTGGCTGCTGGTCTTCCTCGCATGCCATTGGAACACGAAGAGACACAGGATTGGCTGCGGCCACGTGGTCCAAACTGTCTGCGTCCCGATCCGACGCCACTGTATAATACCCGAACCCTAATAGGAAAAAGATTGGTACAACAGAACAGGCTTTATTGACCAATCACAAGCCAGAGTCAGGCGTCAGGCGCCTTCCATCCGAGTCCGCCACGCTGGCCACGCCTATCATTATTTAATAATGCATCTTCCTGCCTATCTTCCTCGTAAGCCATTGGAACGCAGAGGGACACAGGATTGGCTGCGGCCAGGTGGTCCAACATGTCTGCGCCCTGATTCGTCGCCACTGTACGTTTCGGCCCCATGGTATAGTAAGGAAGAGTATGAGACAAAATGATTTTTCTTTAATAAAGGATGAAACTCGCAACACTGTTCTGAATCTGGTCAGTCCGTATAGGGAAAAGAGGGGGTTTATATATCCCATTGGTCTGTCCCGCGTCGCTACAATAGAGACAGAAAACTCGTGAGCGGATTGGCTCTCAGTCTCCGGCGCGTCATTCAATGCCCGCACGCCACCACGCAGCCAGAAGTCGCACCACCTATCACGTGATGTCGCCTCCGCGCCGTGCTCACTACCGTCACCAATATGGCTGCCGCCTATCATTCCGCTACACCACACTACCTCCCCCTCAGCAGTGAAGCTGTCCCCAGCTTCTGGCTTGGTTCACCTCACTGCTGTTGACATCCAGTGTTGGTAAAATATCCAGTTCGACACTTCCCGCACTCCATATCTGGCTGGTTAGTGGCCCATGAGAATAGTTGACGAGGGACTTTGCTCTTGTAGACTTGCTGGAAGGACTCATCATCCATCGAAGATCCATTCGCAGATGCAGTCCAGCTGGCTTTCACTGTCCAAGTCGTCGTCTCTGAGTTGCCAATGCCTCTTCATATGCAGTAGTCCTAATCCCGGGCAATGTCTACGGATCCAGTTTAATGGACATCGGATGATCGCCATGACAATTTCAGCTGGCATTTAAGGGTCTTTGTGTGTGTTGACCATAGAAGATAAAGGGCTGGGTTGGTTGGCTGCTTATCTTCCTCGCATGCCATTGGAGCG